GGCCTAATTGTAAGTTACATATAAACTGCACAATATTAATCACTACGCTACTAACAGTGAAATACCACCGCCAAAGCAAACCTGCAGAATAAGCGAATTTCCATTTTCGAGATTGTATTTACACTTAATTGTCTCATAAATTATTTACATTCATTCCCTATTTAAATAACATTAGTTTAATGAGTACTAAGGTTTGCTGCAACTGTAAGAGTTAAAAATCGGGTTTTTGATGGTTCGTTATTTTATTTCCAAAGTAGCGAGGCCATATTTTAATAGCCAAACACACTATAACCAATCAAGTGAATACAGAAAAAATATTTGAATCTTAATCGGTAATCTAGTTTTCTCGGAGTAGGCAGCGTAAATTTACATTTTGTCGGTACAGACATAATGACAGAAAGACAGACAGAAATTGAGATGAGACTCGTATGGGCCTTCTTATGCTATGAAACGTAAAAATAACCAAAAACTGCATGATTCTACGCAATGGACAGACAAAACTGTAATTTTATTTCTATAGAAGAAGACTGCTACTCTACTAGTCAAATTCGCACAGTTTCAAGCATTCAACACACGACAAGCTGGTCGGAGTCCGATACCATTGAATCACTGCAAGGGATGCGCGTAGAGGTAGAGGAACATTCAGATGACTTCTGAGAATTTCAACTTTCTCGTTTTGCAATGTGCCGTTATGCCTTACTTGGAAGAGGGGGATTTTTGGGCCACGAATGAGTTTGAATTTGTTTAGTTTTAAATAAATCCGACCTGAATATAATAGCAAATGCAAGTCCGCAGTTTGCGTTTTTGATCAGTAGCGTAATTAAAATTTACCAAAATAAAGTGTCTAAATCTAGTGTAACAAACCTAAATATTAGCTACTGGCTTTGATTAACGTCAATTAGTAATACTTAACGTTATTTAAGCCTATTGTATGTTTGATAACTGGCCTCCTGACTTTTATTTCAGTTACTAAGTACAATATTATTGTAAAACAATGCAATAATGTTATTTCATAAAATTTGTACCTGAGAAATTTAAAAATGGAAAATGCATTTCTCGTAAGTGTAAGAAAATCTTAAAGTGATACGATTTGTAATGATACGATCTTGAAACGAGCCATTCAGTATTCTTATTCAAAACACCAAACACCCCCCACTGGATCAAAATATACTCGCACGGCGCAACCCGGCACGGTGGGAAGCCTCTCTCGTATAATTTAAATTACGTACAAAAGCTCAAAATAAAAATAAAATGATTTAGAACATTTTACTCTTTAGATGCAGAATCCACTGTTTTTAAACTTACCTGAACAAAAAATAAAATAAAGTAGTAGCCAACAAAAAAAGTTCCGTAGAAATTGTTCATGTCACATTTCATAAAACATTTAAAAAATCGACTTTATTTGAATATTTAAAATGAAAAGTACCGGGGAACCGAGCCGTGGCTCGGTATGTTTATTTTGATTGTAAAAGCAATATAAAGGAAAATCGCACTTTCTTTATAACTAATTTCGGCTTTTATTGTTTAAGTTTCAGTGGAATTTTAATTTACTATGATGTAACTTTAAATGGACAATGCAATTTAATTTTATTTATTTTAATCTTACACATTTCTGTTATTGTAAATAAACCATACAAATGTTAAAAAATAAAAGAAGTATTTTTTTTTTAATTACTTTGCTATTGTAGGAATTAATATGCGATCACAGGAAGTAGCAATCAACTAAAAAAACATTAAAACAGCACAGTACAGTGTATATAAGGGGTGTGATTTATTTCTTGATACTAAATTAAGTCATTCTTCAAGAATAAGTAAAACTTCAGCATGGGCACACTCTCTAACGTACTATCATATGATGGATTAGCTGAAGGCAGATAAGTCCGATTCAAGCTTATATTGCTTACTATAAAGATTGTTGTAATACAATTAACTTTAACTAGTGGTCGTCCAGTGGTCGAAAACTCGACCAAAAATATGTAATGTACAGGTTTCAAATGATTTAGGCCTAAAAAATGTTTAGCTGTGTGAGTAACTAAGGATTTCTGGGAAATTTAAATATGATATTTAAATGTTTCTTACTCAGGAACAATGCCGTCTCGGGACACTCTGTATAAATGGACGTTAACGTGATTATAAATTTGCATTTTATATAGTCAAAATACAATAGGTATTGCGCAACCGTGATATGTTAATTTATTAACCTTGGTTCAGTAATAAAAACTACACCGTATGCAAACAAAACAAAATTTGCTTACTGTACAGCAATAAATCACGTAAAGAACAAAACAAAAGAAACTAGTAGAATACTGATACCGTAGTCATCATAGGCTACTACTACGTGATGTTACAGAACAGAAGTATGGGGATAAAAATCTTAAATAACTCATAAATCACCATAAAATCATAGTACTGTACTTAAGTCTTTCTGGTAATAACAACAGTGATAAAAATAAGATAAAGATAACAATGATGTAAAACCCCTCTTATAATTTCTCTTTGTTCTATTCTTTCTTTGGTTTCTTTCACAAAATGTTGTAGTGTTGTGAAAGCAGACAGGAGCAGACGATTGTCAGTATGAGTATGTCAGTGTCAGTCCAAGATTGTCAGTCTGTAGGTGCGAGCTTATAGCTTGACCTTGAAGCTACTGATCGATATTTCTCAGTTTTGACTCCATCTTATTTTTGCCAAATGAACTGTAATGTTTCAATAATTGGGAACCTACTGCACATAAAAATTACCGTAAATAGTTAAATATATAGTTCATATCGAAATATTAGACTGAAAAATACAATTTATAACACATTTTCTCGGGATTTGTGAGGTTATATAATATATAGGCATCATGTTGATCCGACCCCAGTTAAGCGAGGTTCTACCTACTTTATTTGCAAGTTTAAGTTACAAATAGAAAACCCCATCACATTATGGTTGGTATTCAATGACCGATGTATTATAAAAAATTAGTTAATTACTTATTTTGATATTAATCAGAAGCATTCATTACAGCTTGCAGCACTTATTGCTATATATAAATATCCAAGTTACTATTACTTTAAAAAAATAAAACACGCAATATTGTGGCCATTCAATGTTTGTAAACACAGTGTTAAAAATTTGACTCTACAGTAGGCCTACTACAGAATACCGGATGGTAAAGAATGTTATGTTTAAAGGAAATAAAATAAAAAATAGTTTAACCAACTTTACTATTTATTTCGGAAAACAATAGAAAGGAACCCCATAAGGATAGGTATGGGATTGAACTAAAATAATTTCAGGGAAACTTAAATAGTAAAGTCCACAATCTGTACATCGTTAGATAAAGAGAGAGAGAAAGAGATTTGATAAGGAATCTGAAAAGTAAACAAATAATCGTTTCTGGCGTTTGTCATATTGTATCTTCCCCCCCCCCCCGCCACGGACATTTGCACTCGTGACCACTTTTTGTTGCTTCCTTATCTTTCGTCCGTCCTAAAATAGAATTCCTGTAATAGTTTGATTGTAAAATTAAAATTATTATAAGAATCTTTTATCTTTCGAGTGAAATAACGTGGTTACTCTTATCAGATAGAATAATATCGTTGCCACATGTAGTAGTTCCTCCTTCGCGTACTCAATAGCGTGAAAAAAAAACAGTTCCTGTATCTCAAACAAGATGCTCGTATATTTCACGAGATAAAGAAAATCAGTATAATTCCCGATCTTTCCAGTCCATGGACACCCTGTAGATATAGTACGTCAATAAAGGAGAAATTAACTAAAGGTTCTGCTAAATGTGAAAATATTTCACTTTTATAATAAAAAATATAAAAAAAAACTTAGGCCCAAAATATGAGATGATGAACGGGTAGGATCAAGATTCAACCATTTATAATTCATTAATATTCGACGTTCCTTATTAGAGGTGCATCATATTTATTTGGAATATGAACATTTTAAAAATCAACACGTAGTTAATCACTCAACATAAATAGTAACAAGGAGTAAACGAAGGTTACAGACCGCTGGGTGTTACCGCTAAAAAATAGGCGAGGAGGGTGCCATACTTGGCTACGCTACTCCACGATAGAACACACGTTGAGGCAGTCTCCGCCGCATTGGTATTGCAGTTACGCTTATCGACACAGGCAGCAGCACCGGTTAAGCTGTTTCCATATGTATAAAGTGCACGGGAAGCCATACCTGACTGGCTTATGGGAGAGCTGACTGGCTTTCGGGCGGGTGACTGCCACACCGAGTAAATTACCAGCGCGGTGACTGCCACTCCGGGTGGGTTCAAAAGTATATATATAGATTTATATATATATATATGTGTCCGTGAACACGATAACTTGAGTAATTTTTATCCGATTTTGATGAAATTTGGTTTGAAGGTGTAAGGCAGGATAAACTTGAATGAGTTCGCGAACCAGCATGATCGGACCATGGGAACGGGGTTTTACGGGGGGTTTTATGGGGTAAAAATGGGGTTTTCTAATTTTTGACCCTACAAACGAAAAATTTCCCAATTTCTCTTCAGACCTTCTTAAAGAGCTTAAAAAAACAAATAATTTAGTATATCAAAGTGTTTTTGTTCTATTATTAGTTACGGAGAAAATTCAAATAATTGTTATTTTAAAATTCCCATGTTATTCTTATGGGGAATATTGTAAAATGTTGTAGTCTGCTTGTTTATGGATATATTTTGATCAAACTTGGTAAATTTATTTATTTTATACTAAGTTATTAATATTTCTCTAAAAAACACACTTTTTTACCCTCCCTGTAGCAGCAAGCCTATGTACTCATTAAAATTAATGTTTATTAAATACATTTAATTGAAAATCAATTCAGGCAACTGGAAATTCGCTTAGTCGGCAGGTTTGCTGCGGCGGGGGTATTTTTGTTATATCATTGATTTAAATAAAAACTAGGTATTTGTGCCTTCAGAATAAAACAGATTGTGCCTTCAGTGCTTCCTACAATTATTGCAAATTAATACAAATCCTCTAATATTGCAGTGCATTGAACATGAATTGATGAAGTCCACTGACTGCTCTATTGATGAAATAGTTCTGCTTTTTGGAGCCACTCCCCTCAGCCCCAGAGATGTGTACCGGATAAAGATACCCCCGTTGACCTTTGGGCATTGTGAGAGCCAGCACGTGTGGAGAAAGCAAATAGCAAATTTGTTTAGGTAAGCATCTCGTTTACAGTTCTATCGACTTCATTTGTCATTTAACCTTTACCACTCGTGATTCTTACTCAAGGCTGTTGGGAATTAAGAAACACTAGAGAACCCGTGCATATAGTATGAAACATAACGCCGAGGAAAACGTTATGCTTAAATTCAAGTAATTCTAGTTACATCTTAGAGTTGTTTAAACACTTGTTAGAAACTAATTTTAAATACCCTGTCTCTATTTGCGTCGTCAAGATTCACCTTGGTTCAATTCGAGTTAACATGTTGCAACAAAGTTTTTCTAGAAATGAGAATTGAAGAAAACTGTTGCCTTACTGATAACCTGTGTTAAGTAATTTAAGTTGGGTCATTTTATTTCTTTGATTTAAGACATCCCCCTAATCAAACAAATTTTCTCCGTAGAGAATCCTGAAAAGTGGGGTGATATCAACCATTTCAGGTGCTCCATTTTTTACACACAAACTCTGGGTTACCAACTAGACAGCCATAATCATGTTGTTCAGTGGAGTTTCTCTTAATACCTGTCCCAAAGTTTTGAAAGTATGGATTCATTTGACGAAATAGGTTGGATAACTCTTGTAGCTATAAGATTTGGATAGCAATTTTCATTTTTTGTTTTTGAACAGCGTATATTATTTGCCTCTCCTGAATTATAAAAATAAACTTAACCGTTACTACTCGATTGTTGAATATATAAACAATAATTCCTTCGCTTATGTTTGGTCTAACATTGCCACTAAAACATTCAATAGCAAATGAATTTTTGAAACTTCTTATTTTTGACTTAAAATGTCTGGATTGTTTTGCTAAATTAAGTCTAAAAACTGTATAAGTGTGTCAGAAGTAAATATTTCTTATTTATTTGATCTGACATTAGGCAAGTTTACTTTACTACCGTGACAACACTTTAATGTGCTTCGTACATTTTTCACTTCCAAAGTAAGTTGCATAGTAATTTCATACGCATAAGATATCTTATTATTAATTGTCTCCTCCTCCCGTTTTCAATACTTCTTTGTTTCATATAGACCAGTGACACATTTGTGCGTCAAATCGTTTCTCACAGTAGACCACCGACACATATTTACGTCAGCTGGTCACATTGAAATAGACTAACAATGCACAGTTGCGTCGGCGTCCTATTGTTATTAATCAGCGTATTTCTTAGCAACGGTCTTTTTTAAAGCCCTGATCTCTTCGTATCGGTCCAGAGGGATATCTGCCACACATGTGAATGGTTATGAAAGGACACAAATAATGTGCCACAACAGTTTGAGTTTACTGGCCAAGTGAAATTAAACATAGAAACAGATCCGGTCGCCATATTTAGTTCTATTTTTTATGACGCCTCTCATAGACAAGATTGTGGTATGGGCTAACAAAAGAGCTGCGCAACATCTCGAGAGGGTTATGTAGACTTATGGGTAATGTAGACATCCCCACATAGAAAAACTATTGGTCGAAAGATCCACTGTATGAACACCCGATATTCGGCAGTACAATGGCTCGCAACAGATATGAGAGTCTTTTACAGTGTTTATGTTTTTATGATCAGGATACAGATCCCACCAACCACAAAATGCACAAAATTGATCACTATAAATTGGTGTAAAATACCTGCATTTATGCGATCTTGTGTTGTAGCTGAGTTGCTACCGGTTTCAACTCACATTGGAGTCATCTTCAGGCAGTTATAAGATGTCTTCTCGCTTCATTCGAAGGTCGTCAATGGATAATAAATAAATAAACAAAACAAACACGTACACGGACATAAAAAAGAACATGAGACTGTGATACTATTGTTATCCATTATGTTCTTAAATTTGGTGCTGAGGAATGAACCGTACTTCGCAGAGACATAGGTTTTCTTTTCTTTTGTTCCAGTTTTTTTATTTTTATGTTTAGAAATCAATTTGTCGATCAAGTTGCTTTGGAAACCATTAGAAACAGCTATATGTTTAATTGTATTAAGTTCTTCTGTGTAATCTATTGAATTCATTGGTACGGAGAGGAGTCTGTGGACGAAACTGTTGTAAGCTGCTAATTTTTGAGAGTATGGATGATGGGAATCTGAATGGATAGTCTGATCTGTACTAGTTGGTTTTCGATATATTTTAAATGTGAAGATATCATTATGTTTAGTTATTGTAAGGTCCAAAAAATTCAGGCAATTGTTGGTTTCCTCTTCTAATGTAAATTTAATGTTCTTATGTATGCTACACAAGTAATTGTTTAGCAAGGAGAGTTGCCTGCTATTACCGTTGAACAGAACAATGGTGTCGTCCACGTATCTATAGTAGAAGATTATCTTATCTTTGTACCGATTAGCTGAGGTAAACAAATGCTTGTTCTCAATGTGATTGAGGAATATTTCCGCCAAAATGCTGGATAATGGAGAACCCATTGCTAGCCCGTCTTTCTGATTGTAAAAATTATTTTCAAATTTAAAATAATTCTGTTTTAGTATGATTCTAATGAGTGCTATGAGCTCGTTGATTGCTTCAAGGGGTAGATTAGAATTCTTATGTAGATTTCGTTCCAATATTTCTATTGTTTCCTGGATTGGTACATTGGTATATAAGTTGACAATGTCAAAGGATGCAAGCTTCATATTACTTTTTACTGGTTGTGTCTTAATTTTGTTTACTAATTCCAAACTATTTTTGATGCTGTGGCTATTTTCTAATTTAATTTCTCTCCTGATTATTTTGTCCAGTTTTTTTGCTATCTTATATGCAGGTGATGGTATAAAATTGACCAGAGGTCTGATGGGTATATCAGGCTTATGTATTTTCGGAAGTCCTCTAAGAATAGGTGCTTGGGGGTTAGTTACCTTCAGGTTCAATATTTCGTTAGCTGTTAACAGATGTTTACTAATAGAGATGGCTTTGTTTATTTCCTTAGAATTTTTGGCTGTAGGGTCCTTATCTAAGAGTTCTATTGTATTGGTTTTACTCATAAAATCTTTTACTTTGTTCACATAGCTGTCGTGATACATTATTACAATGGAGTTGTCTTTATCGGCTTTAGTTATTAGGGCGTTATGTTCGGCAAGTTTGTTCTTTATGTTTGTCAAGGTGCGTTGCATAGGTTTGAATTTTAAATGCTGTTTCCGTGTGTTTGATTTAATTCTAAGAATGTTTTTTGCTCTGTTTCCTATTAAAATACGAGTGGAATCCCTTACTTCATCGGATTTTATACTTTTTATGGACGATTCAATGTCTAACAGTTCGTGAACAAGGTTTGACTTTTTATTGTTTGGTAAATTGAAATTCAATCCTTTATTTAGCAAAGCGATTTCATCATCTTCAAATGTTATTTTTGTTTGGTTCACGACTCTCTGAAAATAAATAAAATAATAAAAAAAATAATAATAAATAATAATATTAAATTAATAATTAAATTACATAAATTAATAATAATTATTATAATTAATTAAATTAATAATAATTAATAATTAAATAATAATATTAAATAAATAATAATAAATAATAATAAAATAATAAAATAAATTAAAAAACTGGAACAAAAGAAAAGAAAACCTATGTCTCTGCGAAGTACGGTTCATTCCTCAGCACCAAATTTAAAAACATAATGGATAACAATAGTATCACAGTCTCATTCAAAACTGACAATAAACTTGGATCTTTGCTAAAAAAACCGCCCCAGACACCTACAGCAACCTTCGAAAAAACTGGTGTGTACCAAATCAATTGTAGTGATTGTCCAAAATATTACATAGGCCAGACATCCCGATCTTTTAGTAAACGTTTTAAAGAACATCTACCGAAAAGGACTACAACTGCACAAACTTCGACCTTCGCAGAACACCTGGTTTCTCTCAACCACAATTACAATAGTATTGACAGTAATATGAAAATCCTACACCTATCGAACGACCGATTCAATAGAAACACATTGGAAGAATTCGAAATCTATAGGGCTGTTAAATTTGACAGCCAAAACATCATTAACGACAAGATTTCATTCCAATCGAATTACATATACGACACTGCTATTAAGATAATGGAGCTAGGGACAGTTGTGAATGGAACTATCAGCTGATCGGGAAATCCAGGCACGACGTCATCACTGTCCACGTTGATCCTGACCGGCAGTCTAGACATAACTTTTGCCCGATCACGTCGTGTCGTGTCCCGTAGGCCTACCGTTTTCAGTATTTTACAGCTTTAAATGTTCTTTTTTATGTCCGTGTACGTGTTTGTGTTTTGTTTATTTATTTATTATCCTTTGACGACCTTCGAATGAAGCGAGAAGACATCTTATAACTGCCTGAAGATGACTCCAATGTGAGTTGAAACCGGTAGCAACTCAGCTACAACACAAGATCGCATAAATGCAGGTATTTTACACCAATTTATAGTATTTAAATGCGATCAGGAGGCTAAAATTCAATATAATAAAATTGATCAGGTGCTAAATCGTGTTTTATAAAACTGTAACAAAGTTTACAGTCCTGGGAAATGCTTACCCCTTGATGAAGCGATGGTCTTGTTCCGCGGATGCCTATCCTTCCGTCAGTACATAAAGGACAAAGCCCACAAGTACGGAATAAAGCTTTGCCCTTCGTAGGTTTTTTAACACCTCACAATAACGTTCTGTGGTAATCGTGGTTCCATGAGGCAGGTAGTCAACCAGTAACACACCCTTTGAATCCCAAAAGACGGTTGCCATAACTTTTCCTGCAGATTGCACGACTTTTGCTTTTTTTGGTGCAGCCTCATCTTTTGCTTTCCACACCATGCTCTGTTTTTTTGTTTCGGGAGTCCAATGATGAATCCATGTTTCATCTCCGGTCACTATTCGGTCAAATAAACCATCCCCTTCATCATCGAAAAATTGCTGAAATTGCAATGCTGCATCAACTCTCTGCTCCTTGTGTTGTTCTGTGAGCAAGCGTGGAACCCATCTTGCGCTGACTTTTGAGAGGCTTAGATCTTCAGTAATTATTCGATGAAGTGAAGTACAGCTTATTTCAACATTTGGAGGCAGTTCAGTAAGGATGTCATCAAGTGTAAGGTGTAAGGCATATGATCAGTGTCAATGACCCTTCGGCAATGCTCGCAACCCATAGGCCTAGACATACCGTCATCACCGTACACACTACAAAGTTCTCGATGAATCTCAGTTGCATTTTTATTTTTAGCGGTCAAAAAATTAATGACAGCACGCATTTCACAATCGGCGGCAGGAACCAGTGGTAACTCCATGACAGCTAGCGCCTGACTGGCGTAGCGAGCCACGCCCAGCCTTGGGCACGTTGCAGTGCTGCCACAACACCCAGACGCTAATTCCCTGCTACTCCCAGACTCCACCCTCATACCGCACGGATTTTATAGAAAAGTGTAACTTACTTTTGGAACGACCCTCGTAAATTTAAAATTTGCATGTTATTCTTATGGAGAATAAGTCAACTGTTGTAGTTTGCTTGATAATGAACATATTTTGATCGAATTTGGAAAATACATTCATATCTTACTAAATAATTAAAATTTGAAAGAAAAAACACTTTTTACCCTCCCTATTGCAGCAAACCTAAGTACTCGTTAAACTAATTATATTTAAGTAAGGAATAAACGTGATATTTTTAAGGAGACATTTTAGTGTAAATCAAATCAAGCAAATAGAAATTCGCTTAGTCTGCAGGTTTGCTGCGGTGGAGGTATTAATATCTCTCCGTTGAAGTGTGCCGAGCAAGTGTACCTTTGAGAAAAAAAGAATTATTGCAATATCAAGTGTTATATCGGTTAATTTATAGTAGTTTACGCAACGATTGCGTTAAGTTAGTCTTTACGACACGAGTAGAAAATTTAAGGCACGAGTATTTAAGTGTCAATTTAAGTCTATTTAAGTGTGTTAATTTAAGTGTCGTAAAGACTATTAACGCGAGTTGCGTACACTACTTTACCTACGACCGTTTTTTAATTACTAACCATGTGGTTTTTAATTCCTAACAGTCACTACTCATAACTTCTAAGAGAGGTTATGTTTTCGTTTATTGTCATTGCCACTGAAAGTGATGTAATGACTTATTGTATAATCAGTTGATTTCATGTAATTACGTGTTTTTAACCAATACACAATTTTTAATATGCGCATGTTTGCTAAACAAACTCAAACTATCGTTGCACACGTTGTGATTTCTTTTTGGCTTTGTTAAATAATAAGTTACTTTTTTCAGGGAATACGTTCTGCTAGCAGCATTCTTACCATAAATACTGTACAGTATCAGATACAATTAGGAAAATATTGCATATTTTTTTGACAACTAAATAATATAGTGAAACAGTTAATTTACAGTTAGATCTCAGCATCGAATATGTGGTCCACAATGAGTGGTTAAGAGGTTTTAAAAATAAACCAGAAGCACATTTTCATTTATCAATTTAACCTTATTTTGTTTCGTCCATTTAATTAATTGGTGGTATGTAATTGCATACCTTTGTTTCGACTTTGGTGGCAAAAGATTAGCACAAACAGTTTGTGCTCTCTTTTCATCTCGTCAACTTCACTTTCATTAACTGACATTTTTAATCAGTTTAATCTACCTTTCTTTAACTTCCACCAACTTAGGTTACGAATACAAGTATCAACAGGAACAAGTCGGATTAACAGTTAAAATTGTCAACTGATCAGCTGATTAGTTGACGTTCAAAGCATTACAATTTTACTTCTTTTTTCTCAATCCTTGAACCTAATTGGTCCGTTACCGTGTTCTTATGAGAAAAACTATGCTGTTATAAAATGAAACTATGCTGTTATGAAATTAAACAGCTGTTAAGTAACACTTTTCAATTCTAAGAACTGAACTGATGACTACTTTAAAAAACGGTCGTAGGTAAAAGTGTTAATCCTTCAATATAGTTAGTTTCATTTCTGTTGTTTTTTGCCTCCTGATCACAAATTTATTGGGTTTTTACCTAAGTCTTTTTGTTTTGTTTTTTTTTCAGGGGGATTATAATTTCAGATGAGGTCAATGCAAACTTCCAGAAAAAAGTTGGTTTGACAAATATGTTTGTTTTTCTAAAAAAGAAAAACACAGAGACAGTTAGTTCAGAATGGCTTCTTCCTAAAGACCATTACAAATTATCTGATCGCTCCCAACAAGTGTGTTTCTCATTTACACCATCAACATCAAAACCATGCTCGTGTGTTGCTGACCTTGACAAACTAACACAGAACATGACAGCCCTCAGCATTAGTGATGAGTCAATGGCAAGTGACAAAATGGCTGATTATGTGTGGTACCAAACATCCAAGACACTTAAAGGGTTCAAAGACTGTAAATCAAAAGGGAAATCCATAGCAGATTTGTGGTATAAGCATAGATTTTTATGACCATCTGCATTTATTTAGAAAAAGTTACAATTGTCTAAGGATCAGCATGTTTCAGTTTTTTTTTTTTTTTTTTTTATATAATTTGTACTGTTAATAAAGATGTTAGTGTATGCATGATTTAATTAATGGTTTCCATTATTCTACACCAATAAAATTCTTTGGAAGATATTGACAAATGCTTCTAAACAACAAGACAGAGAGGTGTTAAACAGTAAAAAACATCAAGAACAAGATGCACAGTAGTAAAAGAGATTAGTGATTAGTGTGTGGGCAGAGGGTAGAAAAGCTGGCAGGTTTAGTTTAATGATAATGATAATTTATTTGCACATAACATACAAATTTGTGAAAATCACATGTACAGGTGCTTCGTCTTGATCTCTTAAAAATTGATTCTCAGTCCTTAATTATTCTAAAACATAAATTGGTTCCTAAGATGTTGATCACAGTCTTAAATTTAGTGCTACAATACAACATGAACATATTCAAACATAACAAGGTATAAAATTTGTAAATCTACGGGTAACAAAATGGCAACAAAAAAATTAACAGAGAATAAATATATGAACAATAATATACGATTTTGACACAAACAAATAATTCCCGTAAGTGTTTGAATGTGATAAACATATAAAAGTAGATAATATAAAACAACAAAACTAATACTAAATGACTAGAACCACTAGATTATATTTCAGTATCATTTAAGAAATCTTGAACTTTGTAGTAGGCCTTTCTGATCAATAATCTTTTAACACTCTCTGAAAAATCTTTCTGAGACGCTTCTTTCATGTTGTTAGGTAATTTGTTAAAAAGTTTCATTCCCATGTAATAAATACCTTTTTCTAGAGCAGTGGTAGAGTGGTGTGGATAAACCAGTAAATTTTTATTTCTTGTGTTGTAATGGTGTTGGGTTTTCTCAGTTGAGTACCATGTTAGGTTGTTCTTTACATGGTTTAAAGTTTCATAAATATAAATACTTGGTACTGTAAGGATTTTCAAATTTCTAAATAGATTTTTGCATGTAGAACCTGGCCCTGTTAAAGTCATTATTCTCAAGATTTTCTTTTGTGCTGTTAGTACTTCTTTAGAAAATTCAGTATTACCCCATAACACTATCCCATATTTTATTAATGAATAAAAATATCCGTAGTAGAGTGTCATTTTATTTATTTATTTATTTAATACATGTCATTACATCATTTTTTGACAGGACATAAAGTCATATACAGGATATAAGAAATAACAAAAATGTCTTACTAAATTATTAATCTAACTTAACGTCCCTATTTAAATAACATTCTATAGAAAAAAAATTTTTTGTTTTTAACCAGGTCTTCAGGGTGGACCTTTAGTTTCAATACTTGTGCAATGAGTTAGACAGCTCATGTTGTGACATATACTATTTAACTTCTTGCATAGCTGTGTCGTATGTTCCCGCCAATTTAAGTTCTGGTCACACACAACACCTAATAACTTTACTGAAATCTGGCATTTCACATCATTACCGCTAATTCTTAGCTTCAACTCTCCTTCCCTACTCTGTAAGTTTCAAAAATGAACTAAACTCGTCTTACTAGTATTTAAATGAAGGCCATTAATAACAAACCAATGCTCTAGATCTTGTATCGTAGCCTCTGCGTTCTCCTTTATATCTAATAAATGCTTTCCTTTTATGAGTGCTGTAGTGTCATCAGCAAACATGATTATTTTGGCATTTACATTCTCTGGGAGGTCGTTGGTGTATATAGTAAATAAAACTGGGCCTAAAATTGAGCCTTGTGGCACTCCTGTTACAACTGTGTCATACTCAGATTCATATTTATTGTTTTCTATTATTATTGATATTTTTTGCCTTCTTCCTGTTAGGTATGATTCAAACCACTTCCAACTCGACCCTCTGATCCCATATTTAGTTAATTTTTTTAAAAGGACTGCATGGTCTACACAGTCAAAAGCCTTTGATAGATCACAGCAAACTGCAAGAGTCGACTGTGATCCATCCATGGCCTTATATATATCATCTGTTAGTGATATTAGTGCTGAGTTTGTTGAGTGTGACTTCCTAAAACCATGCTGACTGTTTGTAATTAATCTATTTGATTCTAAATATTCTTGTAGTTGCGTGTGTACCACCTTTTCAATTATTTTAGAAAACACAGGTAATAGTGAGACAGGGCGATAGTTTTCAATTAAATTTCTATTTCCTTTCTTAAAAATTGGCCTTACGATTGAAGTTTTAAGGTTTGTTGGAAATTCACCAGTTTTTAATGATTGATTTATTATTTTTGTAAGTGGTGCAGCTATGTACTCTTTACAGTCCTTAATTAATCTAACTGGAATTTCATCCCAACCTGTTGATCTCTTGTTCGATATTGACTTAATAATCTTTAATACATCTATCTCTTTTACTTCTTTAAATGTAAATTCTGTATTATCTGGGATGGCTACCTTACTACAGCACTCAATTGCTCTATGTGGCAAACTTTGAACTTTCAGTTGTTGTTTTATTTTTAGGTAATGGTTGTTAAAGTAATTAGGAATAACTATGGGGTTGTTGATAGTTTTTCCGTCAATCAATATTTCTTTTATGTCATTATTATTCTTTTGTATCATTCCCAACTCATTCTTTATTACCCTCCATGATGCTCTACTCTTACATTTAGATCTTTTAATAAAGTCATCATTTGCCTTACGTTTAGCTGCCCTTACAACTTTTCTAAATATTCGTCTATATATCTTGTAGTAATTTTGCAACTTGGCACTTTTATTAATCTTTATTTCACTGTGGAGAAGTCTTTTTTTCTTACTTGAAATTTTTATACCTTCTGTTATCCATTTTATTACTTTACCATTTTCTTGCCTCAAAGGTTTTACAGGAAAGGACTCATTCATATTTAACATGAACTCTCTTAAAAAGTTATCATAATTTTCATTTGCTGACTTGTTTGATTCTACCTTCCAATCTGTTTGCTTTATTGACTCTTTAAATTCGTGAATAGCCTCTGGTGTAAATCTTCTCTTTAGGGTATACTTTTTATTTTCTACTTTACATTTAAAATTGGGTATTTCAGCCCAAATGGCACTATGATCAGAAAGGCCTATGTCCTCTACCAAAATATTTGTCAAAGTGAGTTTTTTATTTGTTATAATATTATCGATGCAAGTATTGCTAATGGGTCTAGTCACCTCTTTGATATTTATTTTGAACCCATTGAAGTTTATTACATTATAAAATTCCTTAGACTCTACACTATCTAAAACGTTAACATTACAGTCTGTTGCAAAGAATACATTGACCTTTTTCCTAGATTTAAACATTCTAAACATAGACTGAAGCTTTTTAAGAAAGGTTCCTAGGGTAAACTTATATGGCACCCTGTAAAGGGATATAATTATAACAGGCTCTGAAAAATTTAATATTTCCACTACTGAGCACTCAAAATAGAAATCTGCATTTAAAACTTTTAGATCATCTCGTACTTTACAATTTATTCCTGAGCCTTCTTTTAATAAAATTGCTGTTCCTCCTCTTTTGGCAGATTTTCTAATATAATAGTCTACCATATAGTAACCTTTAACTTTGTTTAACATGCATATATTTTCCTCTGTCAACCAGTGCTCATTTAAACATATTATTTGGGTATTTTTACTTATTTTTTCTAGAATTAAGTTTAAATCATCAATTTTGTTTTTTACACCTTGAATATTTAAATGCATTAAAAAAAAAAGTTAGTTTGGTAAGCCCATTTTCCTAGCGCTACGCCAGGGGTAGATATCGATTTGCTAAATCAAAATCTAATATCGACTATTGGATGGATTTAACTTTTCGTTTACTAAAAAGATTGTTCTAAATTTCTTCCTTGTTAAATTTTCAGCACAGCAGGGTGTCTAGTAGTCGGGAAAATCGGGAAAGTCGGGAATTAGTATTGAATTTCAAAATGGTCTTGAAAAGTCGGGATTTAGTCTTAAATTTGATTTCAAAGTCGGGAATGTTTATGATTTTGCCGCGATCGTCGACTTCTGTTTACGTAACCGCGAAAGCCAATGATGATTGTCCTCACGGCCTCGGGAAATGTTCACGATTTTACCGCGATAGTGGACGACGACGATGACGTTTCCGAAACCACGGGAGACGACGATGACCTTTCCGTGACCGCGGGAGATGACGATGACGTTTCTGTGACCGTGGGAGACGACGATGATATCTGCTCGGCCGGGGGAAAAGTTCATGATTTTGTCGCGATCGCGGACGACGACGATGACGTTTTCGTGACCGCGGGAGATGACGATAACGTTTCCGTGACCGCGGGAGATGACGGTGATGTCTACACGGCCGCGAGGAATATGCATGATTTTGCCGCGATAGTGGACGACGACGATAACGTTTCCGAAACTACGGGAGACGACGATGACTTTTCCGTGACCGCTGGGGATGACGATAACGTGACCGCGGGAGACGACGATAACGTTTCCGTGACCGCGGGAGACGACGATAACGTTTCCGTGACCACGAGAAACGACGATGACGTTTCCGTGACCGCGGGAGATGACGATGACGTTTCCGTGACCGCAGGAGACGACGATGATATCTGCTCGGCCGCGGGAAATGTTCATGATTTTGTCGCGATCGCCGACGACGACGATGACGTTTCCGTGACCGCGGGAGATGACGATGAAGTTTCCGTGACCGCGGGAGACGACGATGATGTCTACACGGCCGCGGGAAATGTTCATGATTTTGCCGTGATTGCGGACGTCGACGATAACGTTTCAGTGACCGCGGGAGATGACGATGACGTTTCCGTGACCGTGGGAGATGACGATGAAGTTTCCGTGACCACGGGAGACGACGATGATGTCTACACAGCCGCGGGAAATGTTCATGATTTTGCCGTGATTGCGGACGTAGACGATAACGTTTCAGTGACCGCGGGAGATGACGATGACGTTTCCGTGACCGTGGGAGATGACGATGACGTTTCCATAACCGCGGGAGATGACGATGACGTTTCCGTGACCGCGGGTCTACACGGCCGCGGGAAATGTTCATGATTTTGCCGTGATCGTGGACGATGACGATAACGTTTCCGTGACCGCAGGAGACGACGGTGATGTCTAAACAGCCGCG